CTACCTTATTGTTCGCCACCCGGACCGATAATGTAAACTGTTTATCTACCTTATTGTTCGTCACCCGGACCGATAATGTAAACTGTTATCTACCTTATTGTTCCGCACTCGGACCACATAATGTAAACTGTCATTAATATGAACCGTCTTTACCCAGTGCCTGGTCACTTGTACCTTTTGACATCTTCATATTATACCCCGTTATCCATGTTCGGCTACACGTGTTCCATATAAATAAACACTCAACCGTGGCGTGCGCACGACGTGGCGACGACGAATGAGGATGAGTCGTAGGGTAGGTAGGGGGTAGGAAGTGAGGACCAATAGGAGAGGGTTACGGATGGGGGAACATCCGTCCAATTTGTGAGCCGACAGGAAACGTGATTATACACCATGCAAGTACTTCGGTACAGTGTTTAGTTATAATAGTTATTTATTCATTTACTTGCCAATATTAAATTGCAATCTAAATTATCTTATCTTGTTTTGACATGTAGCCTTTGTCTCGTTTGGTAGTTTTCTGTTTTCCATTCATAACATGTTACGTTATATTCATATGTATCTATTTAGTTCTGTAAACTTACTCATATTTACCATGTATTTATCATTATCATCCACGCACATAGACGTTTGTTGTTCTTTATTTTATCTGTGATGCCTACAGTTTTGTAACTGTATATCGGTTTCAAACTACTTCCCAAAGTACTTAGTACTTTAATATACATATAAAGATGATATACAGCAAGTTAGTGTATTTGTATGATTAGTAATATTGAATGACTGTATATGATAAAATTATTCCAGGATTGCTATAAGATGAGACATGATATGACATGGCGATACCGATTTGTTTTGCTGCTATATATCGTTGATGATACTACGTATACCCATTGAGAACGTCATACATAGAGACCTACATGGCACGTAACAAACACTTTTGTATTTTTACACGTTTGTTCCAGAGGTTCCATTAAATACCCTAAATGGGTTTCATTATGAAAATAAATAATGAGAAACATTTCATCTTGTGCCTCATCAACTTGGTGAAGATCATTATGGTGGGTGAAAGTATGTGCTTTTTAACAACAAAACTTCAACCCGTTCCTTTTAGCTACAAAAGTAAGTTTTGCCAAACTGATTTCAAGGGACCATCCATTTAAGAGATACATGGGGCCCTGGGTCATACTATACTCATCGCCACATGAAGCAAAAGACAAACAAACTGACAGTAACAAACAAGCAATCAAAACGAAGAGACCAAAAGAAAACAATAATTTGCTCGAATTGTCGCTACAACAAATTTCACCTGCATCATTTTCACACTAATCAACCCACCCCTTGCTGTTACAACCTTTCCTGATCCGTCCCTAACAAGATTCCAGCGTCTCAGAAGGAACGCAGCAAGATGCCAGGGGTAGACTGACTCGTGTATGACCTGGACCTGAGCTGAGCCAGCTGAGCTGAGCTGCGTGTTTTGGGCAGGCAAGGGTCAAGAGCAGCCGCGTCACTGAACAACAGAAAATACACCAGGAAACATCATGGACAAAGACAGCGATGGCGAGAAGACGACAGTGGCTCTCAAAAGGAAGATCACGCTCTTCAACGGGATCTGCATGATCGTAGGCGGGATTATAGGCGGCGGGATCTTCATCTCACCGAAAGGTGTGCTGGCGGGGAGCGGTTCCATCGGGGTGTCCCTGATCGTGTGGGCGGCCTGCGGAGTCTTCTCCATCGCCGGGTCGCTCTGCTACCTCGAGCTGGGCTTCTCCATACCGAAGTCCGGGGCGGGGTACGCCTACATCCTGGAGGGGTTCGGGGAACTGCCCGCCTTCCTGTTTCTCTGGGTGGAGTTTCTGATCAGGAACCCGACGTCGGAGGCCATCTCTGCCCTGACGTTCGCTTCCTATGTCGCACAGCCGTTCTTCCCGCACTGCGAGGCGCCACAGAGACTGAAGACCATCATAGCTGCACTATGCCTCAGTAAGTTTGCTTTATATATACTCGCTTTTGACAAATAGCGATACTATGTTTATTCTAGCGTAAGTAGTGTTTCGGATTCAGCCTTCAACACAGTGTTTACGCTCACGGTTACATGAAACCCCCAAACGATCTGTGGAGGAACTCGTGACATCTTCCAGACCGCTTCCAGACTGTTACGTTTTTCTCACCAGTGGGGGTGAGTATCAGAGCCCCAGTAGGCCGGTAGGCTACGTGGGAGTGAGATAAGGTCGCAATCTTCCCTCCCAGGTCAGATAGGATAAAAGATAAACTAAAAGTGTCCGAATTTCAATTGAAGTGTAGCGCGTTGTGCAGAATATAATTTCAGCCATTCTGATTTGGCCTTGTAGGTTTATACTCACTGGTTTATACTAGTAAGAGGGCTAGAGTGGAATTTCAGTGAAATTATGTACAATTTTGAGGCTTTCTGACGGTCTGAGTTATCATAATATTTATCGAGTAAATGTTTATACTAATTATAGCCTAATGGTACTGTTTGTAGTGTTATCCCTAGAGAGGACAGCACGGAGTTGTCAGAGCCAAAATACTATGTACCCTAAAGACGACCAGATGGTTTCTCTCGCACCTTGCCAAGAACAGTAGGTTTTCCGTCAGCGAGCATCTGGTGGGCGTGTCTGAGGGGTCAGGCTAAAGGGGGGCCAACCACTGAGGATAGCTAGGGGCTGCATGGCACTAGAAAACACGCAAAAACGTGACGTTTCTGTAATCGAATTAATTCACACAATAATTTTCTGCTTTTTGCTAAGAAAAGAATGTAGTATTTGCGTCAACGAAAAGAAAATCCAATGACATGTAACATCACATTAGTAACTTGGTATTGGTCATTGGTGAAATCACCGATGAATTCGAAAAAAAACATGAATTCGGAGATCCCATACCTCCATGAAATATGATGTTTTCGTAAATGTTTTTTTTATTTGTCTCATTGACTATGGAAATAAGGTAGTGTAATTTATGGTTTTCTAAATTCAAATCTTTCGTGTAATATTCCTCTCCTTTGTCATACTTCATTTCAACATGTCCTCAATTAATTATGCAAATTATTTCTTCATTAACATAATATATGCATAGTGATGTTATACGTAACTTACACATATCACTTACATAGTTATAAAATTCCCATCATTCACCAATAAGGAGTCACAGAATTTTTACATTAATTGTGCAAATTAGGTCATCAACGAGTGTTGGGAATACCTTAGCAGTCCAATACTTGCAAGACCATCCCCTCCTTGTAGTAGTGTTATCTTAACTTGATTTTGTGGGAGGCATCTTAGCAAAAGCCCCAGCACCACGTCAAGGTGTACCTCCATTGCTGAGGAAATTTGGGACGTCATCCTGCTCACAACCACCAACCTTCTCCGTGCACATAAGACCCAACCGAACAGGAATGTTTCAAGTCTAGAGTATCACTTGACTCACAAACAATTTGGGAACTAAAGCAGTTCAGGTTTTGACCGATTTCCTATTTCCAGAAAAGGACAATTTTATATTTCTTACTTATAACGCTGAATTTTGTTGCAACTGCTTTTTTTACATGTAATACGGAATTTGAGCCAAGGCCTGCAAATTCAACGTAACGTGCAGAAGCTGTTGGTGGGCATGTCAGGATGAGCGTCAAGGTTACCAAAACTGAGTGCCAATTACATTTAGTCCATGTCCAAGCAAATGGCCTGGCTGGAATATTTCAGGCTACAAGAGAAAGGATATCAGTTTAAGACAATTTCTTTTGTCATCTTGTTTGACTTTCCTCACGGTCCACCGAGCAACATTAAGCGGTGGACTCTGCTGAAAAGGAGACAAATTACAATGTTAGCGTCATTTACACCCTCACACCTTGTTTCTGGATGTCTGGATAAGAAAAGAACGTAACTACTCACCTAGCTGGCCGTTCTTCCGGTTCAGACGATCCCAGAAAGAGCAGTTTCAAAATGCTGGCAAGGAAGAATCCAAACACGCAAAATCCAAAATGGAAAGATGAAGGTCAAAATACGAAACAGTTGCAAAATGCTGGCACGGAAGAATCCAAACACGCAAAATCCAAAATGGAAAGATGAAGTTCAAAATAAGAAACAGTTGCAAAATGCTGGCATGGAAGAATCCAAACACGCAAAATCCAAAATGTGAAAATGAAGGTCAAAATACGAAACAGTTTCAAAATGCTGGCACGGAAGAATCCAAACACGCAAAATCCAAAATGGAAAGATGAAGTTCAAAATAAGAAACAGTTTCAAAATGCTGGCACGGAAGAATCCAAACACGCAAAATCCAAAATGTGAAAATGAAGGTCAAAATGCGAAACAGTTTCAAAATGCTGGCACGGAAGAATCCAAACACGCAAAATCCAAAATGGAAACATGAAGTTCAAAATAAGAAACAGTTTCAAAATGCTGACACGGAAGAATCCAAACACGCAAAATCCAAAATGTGAAAGATGAAGTTCAAAATAAAAAACAGTTTCAAAATGCTGGCACAGAAGAATCCAAACACGCAAATCCAAAAGGGGAAAATGATGTTCCAAATAAGAAACAGTTTCAAAATGCTGCAGCTGGCACGGAAGAATCCAAACACGCATATATCAAAATACGCAAAGCCATGAGCTGAAGACGCAGGTCGAAATGTGCAAATGGACGTCGAAGCATGTATACATTTGACGTCCAAACAGTCTGTGCATATGAATTACCAAACTATTCAAACCAGAAAAGACAAAGATCCTCTATCCCCCACCCCCTTATTCAATCTTTGCGTTTGACAATGGAAAAAAAGAGATAAATCTCATCTGGTCTAGTCGTCTTCTTGAAGCTTGCTTCCTTCAGGAGACGTCTGGTATACAGGAATGAGTCCCTCCATACAACCGGGCATCCTTCCAGTTCAGATTCAGCCAAAACCCAATGGTGCGCTGCAGTACCATCTTCTGCTATCAGGGGGCGCGTCTGTGTGGCAAAAGGAAAGAGCGTTTTGGAGCCAGCTGTTTGAGGTGGAAGAAATATACAGGAATATTGAAGGATCGATCTGAGACGTAATGGAATATTAGATGTATCATAATGTTATTCTACTTTTATTGGTGAGCACCAGATCTAGTATTTTTGTCCCTTCCAACTTACCTAGATCGCTAACGCAGCTGGCTGACGTGGCAGGCTGGCACTTCGACTGAATGAATATCAGTTGAAGACAATTATTTTGGCCTATGAAGTTCTGCTGGCTTCCTTCATGGTCCCTCTGGCAACGTGAAGAGGTGGGGTCTACTGGAAAGGCAAAACATCACTCCATACCCCCTCCCTACTCCCTCCCGCGTACCCTGTTTCTGGGTGCTACTAAACCCTAAACTGTTCAGACCAGACAATGTATGTAGTATAAACTCTGGCTTAAAGTCTTTCAACGTCGCCCACCCTTACTCGTTACGTTTAACGGGAAGAAAGAAAAATCTTATCTGGTCTTGTAGTCTTCGTCGAAGCTTGCTTCCTTTCTCGAGTGAAGACTGAACCTCACAACGTCAGGATCTGTATACAAAGTCAAACTAAAGAAGAAGATAAAAAAACGCCCTTTCGGAAGGACCCCGTTTTCCCATCGCCTGGTTACCAGACCCGATAAACACTCTGGAGATAATATTAGCCCGGTAACCAGGCTTTTCCCTCCCTAGTATGGGACAAAAAAAAACATAAAATGGCATAAGTTGCCAAAGTAAAGGAGGGACAGGTTAATTATGGTTTGGCCCTAACCCAACGTAAGTGCTACGCGAGTTTGTGGGTACCCCCAAATTTTGTCAAGGGAGAAAAAGTACATGTTAGTACAGCATGAAGTCCCCACATGGCTCACCTCTGGCATTTCAGCTGGGCGGTCTGGCTTGTCCTCTCCACAACAATACAATCATAAGTGCTTCTCTCGAACACCGACGACTAGCTAAGTTTTTGGTGTGCCTTGTGATTATACAAAAAACAATCTTTTTTGCAGGCCAGGATTTTGCTCCCTGTGTCAGCACACACTTGGACTACTAACTACGCTCCCTAACGGTCCCTACGCGTTTAACTCACCTTCGCTAAGTCTAAGTCTAAGTCTTAACTTCAAGTGCATGTGAGCATCAGAGAGCAAGCCATGGCATAAACAGGTGCAAAAATTAACACCAAGAAAATCACTTTCATGCTCTCAATTTTCCAACTTATTTAGGTAGAATGGTACAATCTCTAACATCATAAAAAGTAACAATCTTACTTAGCTACAACTATAAGTCTAAGAAATTGTATCCCTGCACCCCAAAATTCTATCTACTACTAAGTAACATAATGACATGAACATTGCATAGAAGTAAAAACAAGGCACATCGTGTCCAAACATTCCCTACATAAACTACAAAACTGTACACAATAAAGATTGCATGTAATATACAAATGTAGTCTCCCAACGCCCCCTCCCTTACTCTTTATGTTTGACGGTAAAAAAATAAGTAAATAAAAATTTTATCTGGCCAAGTCGTCTTTGTAAAGCTTGCTTCCTTCAGGAAACATCTGGTATAAAGGAACGAGCCACACGATCCAATCCACGATCCAATCCACCCCGCGAGTTCAGATTCAGCCAGAACCTGTTGAGTGCTGCAGTACCATCTGCTGCCATTAGGGAGCGCCCTGTGTGCAAAAGGAAAGACTAGTAGTTTTAGAGGCTGCTGTTGTAAGAGCAATGTAAGAAGAGTTGATTATAAAAAAAAAATGTCAGCAATTTATGTATTCATACATTAGAATGTACTTGGATGAATATATATAGGAGAAAAAGGCATAGCAACAGTGCCTAATTTCGTAAAACAAGCAAGTCAAGGAAGGTCACAACCTAGCCTCCTTCCCAGTCTTGTTGGGCGTCGGCGTTATTTTTTCTCTGAGCGACGCGAGTAATATGCGGCCGCGAGGGACGATTTTCTGCCGAGGGAGTTTTTGCCACGGAGAGAAGGTTTCGCAAATGATCACAGACAATCATCACATTTGTCCGTTTTTCGAAGAAAAATAAAACACTGGGTCACACCAATAAATTCCGGTACACTTTTCACGACGATTCTATGGTAAATGTATGCGAAAACGACACTTTTTGGTGAAATTATGACAAAACAAACAGAAAACATTTACCAGTAACTACAGACTGGACCAGAATCGAGCAAAATATAGATTTTTATGACAGAAACCCTCCCTGATTTGACACTGGTTGTTTAAAAAAATGCTATAAACACGTTTGGATTCAGTTGTTTCAAATAACGCTACAGGCATTTGGCGGGAACATATGTTACTGGTAGCCACGTGACAGAAAACAGGAAATCACATTTTACCCTAGTTTTACAAAGATAATTGAAACACTGATTAGCACCAATTATAATCACCGGACCAATGTTTACGGTGATTCTGAGGTAACTTTTCGAGAAAATTTCACTTGATCAAATTATGACCAAAACATCTCCGGTAACTACGGGCGACGAGTGATTGACAGGTGATCCGGGAGAACCCGTAATTTTTAAACCCACAATCTTGACAGAAAATTGCTAAAAATTCGGTTGGAAACTTCAATTACACGCATTCTATTTGATCTTTGGTACCACATTCGCTGAAAAATGAAGAATTTAGAGATGTTCACGGAATTACTGTCAGCAGGACAACTTTGCCGGGTGCCACATGTCATGAGATCGGTTTTATTTCCGTGGACTATTTGTTTCAGTAAAATCCTACAAAAGTTCTCCGGTTTCTCTGCGAACACTGCCGAAGGCAATACGTGGATAGCCAGTGTTATTCTACGGCTAGGAGTGGAAAAAAGCTTACCTTGTGGGCAGCAAATCCGCTCTTGGAGACGCTGGGCCGTGCGTGTCTGTGCTGGCTCATCTTCACAAACGGAATTTCCTATTTGAATACAAACCTCCACGGTTGATGGTTGATGCTTGGACTGTTAAATTTTCTTCTGGAGGGATATTTAAGAAAGCGGAAGTGCCTCCTTCAAAATCCTCAAGGAATTCTTGCGCAGTTTGCAAACGTTTTCTTGTGGAGAAAGTTTTTGAATGTGCAGTATATTTGTTGTTCTGTCTCGATATATACTAGTAATCACTTGAAAACATGTAGCCCCCCCTCCTACCAGCCGTTGGTACATCCCAGCTACGATCTATAATTGCCATGCTGTGATTGGTTGGTCTGATAATTGGTTGGACTCCTGGTTGCAGCCGCTCTCTCATTGGTCGAACTATAATTTGCCATATTGTCATTGGCTGGACAGGGTAATGGGTTGACATGATCGGTGTACAGAGAATTCTTGCGTGCCAGTTGCATACTCTCCAAGCAGAGGTTTGGCCTGTCCGGATGTCTTTCTTTTATTGCTTTTTTCTACGTTTTCTACGTCTCTATTTTCTTGGCTTTAAGTTATATCGGCCTGGAGACAAAAAGAAAAGTCTACAAAATAGATCATGGCTAAAAGACGTAAGGCGACTAAGTCATCGTCGTATTTTTTTACAAAATCCGGTTCACGTAAAAGAGTGAAAAATGATAATTACTGAAATGTTACTGAAATGAGACTGTCAGTAACTATTCAGTTACTATTTAGTAGCTGGTAGTAACTACATTTTAGTTTAGTTACTACTTAGTTACTGGTAGTAACTATATTTTTAGTTCAGGTACTATTTAGTTACTGGTAGTAACTATATTTTAGTTCAGTTACTATTTAGCCACTGGTAGTAACTATATTTTTAGTTCAGGTGCTATTTAGTTACTGGTAGTAACTATATTTTTAGTTCAGGTACTATTTAGTTACTGGTAGTAACTATATTTTTAGTTCAGGTACTATTTAGTTACTGGTAGTAACTACATTTTTAGTTCTATTACTATTCAGTTACTGGTAGTAACTATATTTTAGTTCAGTTACTATTTAGTTACTGGTAGTAACTATATTTTAGTTCAGTTACTATTTAGTCACTGGTAGTAACTATATTTCTAGTTCAGGTGCTATTTAGTTACTGGTAGTAACTATATTTTTAGTTCAGGTACTATTTAGTTAGTGGTAGTAACTATATTTTAAGTTCAGTTACTATTTAGTCACTGGTAGTAACTATATCTTTAGTTACTGACAGTCACATTTTAGTACTGATGGTTTGCTAAGGGTTTTTCCCTTCTACATCCAGGTATTCTGATCTTCATCAACTGTGCGAAGGTCCGCTGGGGAACGCGGGTTGTGGATCTGTTCACCATCACCAAGCTGTTCGCGCTGGTTATCGTCATAGTGGCGGGCTTCGTGTCGTTGGGCAGGGGTGAGTTGGAACATCCAATTAGTCAACATTTAATTGGGTTAACTGGCGGCAAAAATCAAGAACGATTTGCAACATTCGATGTTTCACAGCATCAGAAGAGTTATTTTTGACTACAATTCTTTTACTACAAGTCTTTGTTCATTGAATAATGCCTATCACGTCTGACTAATGTCAGGAACTGTTGTATTTCAGTGTTATCGGTGCCATGTGGTCTTTAACTAAAAAAAGTTTGACTAGGAAAGTTACTCTGAAAGTTTATTAGAAGGACGCCTGATATTTCACTATGATGACATGTATGTTTATCATAGTTTGACAGCTAGAAATTGGAACAAAAGTCAATGTTTTTCTGTCACGAGCAGGTAAGACAGAAAACTGGCAGGATACGTTTGCTGGGGTGACTACCGTGGGAGGCATCGCACAGGCGCTGTATTCAGGACTGTACGCGTATTCAGGATGGTACGTTTCAGCTGCTTCTGTATCTGTTAACAAATGAGTGAAAAGTAGCCTGGTTACCGGGGTTCGGAAGAACCCCCCCCCCCCCCCCACAAGGCTCAAAGGTCCACTTTTGGTCCAATTTTTGTCTAAAGGTCCAAGATGTCTCTTTTAGATGGACTGATTCGTATCACCAATCGTAGGAAAACTGCCTATTTGTCACTGAATAAAAAGTTATCTCTGATTTTTTCCCTCTGAAATCCTCTCAAAAATGCAGGAAATGCCATTTCAGAAGGTTCATTTTTCAAAATT